CTCCACCTAGGCTGCGGGGAACAACCGGCCTCGCAGGCGGTAGCGACTGGGATGGGCTCCTGACCGAGCGCGGGGCTGGGCCAGTCACACCCGCAGCGAGGCACAGGCTGGGACCACGTTCACGCCGTCGACTGCGGCAGAGCCCAGTCGGGTGAGAGCGGTTCTCCCTGAAGGCCTCGGGAACCTGTCCTCCAGGAAGGCACGGGGAGAGGGCGCCATGCCCGTAACTGGGAGCACGTGACGGGGCAGCGGGGAGCCATGTGGTTCCGCTTCTCTTTCCTCAGTTTCTTGTTCTCCTTCCCCCACTCATTGCTCTAAATCAGCATTGCTGAGGGCCCAGGTGTCCATTTCCCCCAAACTACGGTGCACCATTACTTTTGTAAAACAGTAAAAATAAATTACACCAACACTAAAATACCACTTGGATGTCACAACGATGTTAAATTGCTGTAAGTCTCTTAAACACTTTCAATCTCTGTACTTATCTCTAGTGGCCTGGTGAACATCTTCCAGACCCACTGCGGCCCCTGGACCAAACGGAGGGTCGGGCTGCTTCTGGAAGGCACAGAACCACAGAGCACGCCTGCCTCGGACTCTCCCCATCCTGGGATCCTGTCCTGTACTTGTAGCCGGCTCAGCTGCAGCCCTGCCCCGCCCAGAGCTCCAACCATACGGTTCCTGATAGGATTTGCCCAGGCTTCAGTGGGTGCTGTTCCCTCATGGTCAAGCAGCCCCCAGGGGGAGGGATATGCTGTGATAGTCCCAGGCCAAGTGCAGCCTGGCGTCCCCTTACCCCAGTGCAGCCAGGTGTCCACTTACCCAAGTGCAGCCTGGCGTCCCCTTACCCCAGTGCAGCCAGGTGTCCACTTACCCAAGTGCAGCCAGGTGTCCCCTTACCCCAGTGCAGCCAGGTGTTCCCTTACCCCAGTGCAGCCAGGTGTCCACTTACCCAAGTGCAGCCTGGCGTCCCCTTACCCCAGTGCAGCCAGGTGTCCACTTACCCAAGTGCAGCCAGGTGTCCCCTTACCCCAGTGCAGCCAGGTGTTCCCTTACCCCAGTGCAGCCAGGTGTCCACTTACCCAAGTGCAGCCTGGCGTCCCCTTACCCCAGTGCAGCCAGGTGTCCACTTACCCAAGTGCAGCCAGGTGTCCCCTTACCCCAGTGCAGCCAGGTGTTCCCTTACCCCAGTGCAGCCAGGTGTCCACTTACCCAAGTGCAGCCTGGCGTCCCCTTACCCCAGTGCAGCCAGGTGTCCACTTACCCAAGTGCAGCCAGGTGTCCCCTTACCCCAGTGCAGCCAGGTGTTCCCTTACCCCAGTGCAGCCAGGTGTCCACTTACCCAAGTGCAGCCTGGCGTCCCCTTACCCCAGTGCAGCCAGGTGTCCCCTTACCCAAGTGCAGCCTGGCGTCCCCTTACCCCAGTGCAGCCAGGTGTTCCCTTACCCCAGTGCAGCCAGGTGTCCCCTTACCCAAGTGCAGCCAGGTGTCCCCTTGTGTCCCGTGTCCCCCTGTGTCCCCTTACCATTCCATGCCAGCCCTGTTGATCTCCTCCCACCAGCACTCCGTAGGCTCCCCCAGGCTGTGGGACGTGGGCATGCAGGCGTAGTTCCACTGTCTGTCAGAACCTTCCTTCTTGCTGAAGATGCTCCTCACGGCCACCACCACCTGCCCGTGGGGACACTGGTAGCTGAAGCCCTGCCGGTTCAGGTTGACCCACCCATCGTCGCTGTAGTCCTGGTATGGGTACCCGTAGTAGCCATACTGGCCCCAAGCCACGGTGACCAGTGGCAGAAACAGCCAGAGAAGAGTGAGGTTCATGCTGCCTGGGCTTCTGGAAAGAAGTGTCAGCCCAGGTCTGCTGGGCCGACCGTTTTATACAGCTGCTGCCGACATGTGGCTTCCAGATGTGGGTGAGCAGGATCCAACTGCAGTCCAGGCTCCAACTGCAGTCCAGGCTCCAACTGTAGTCCGTCATCGTTTAACAAAACTTCCCTGTGTGGAGACACTGGCCGTCAGTGCTTCCAGCGAGTTTTAAGGTGGAATTCTAGGAACATGTCAGGAACACACAGTGGAGAGGCTCCTCGAGGAAAGAACAGCCTTGCAGACAGACCCTAAAAGCCAGCGGCTTCACACCCCTTAGACACACTCTCCTGGAAAGCAGCATGTTGGTCCCCTTCTCTCGGGACCTCACCTCTCTCTGCTCTCTGCCCCCCCACCCCCCAAAGAAACCCTTGCATTTATTCTTCTAACTAACCTTCCAGGATCGCACAGATGCCCAGAGTAATTTCAAACACCAAGATGACCGGAGGCAGGGATAGCCATGCAGACCTGGGCAAGGCTGGAGCTGGTCTCATAAGTTCTCAGCCCAACATCTTTAACCTGAGCCCCAGTGCGGTGTCCTGTGCGCAGGGCTGCTCTGCTAATTCCTGTCGCATGCGGAAGAACCGTGGCCCCTGAGAGGTCAACGGGCCATTATCTCTCAGCACAAGCCTCCTTCCAGGCCACGGAACCTGGGCCCAGCTGTCCTGGGAACTGGGCTCTGCTCCCAAATGCGTAATGAGTTTAATCTGAATGAAGCCATTTTTTATCCTTCAGAGTTTTGTGTGTTTTTCCCTTCACGTTGAGTTTTTTTCCACTGAGGTATGATTTACATAGAATAAAATTTATCTTTTTAAATGTTCAACATGCAGACATTTAACCAGCACCATAATTAATGCAGAGGACAGTTCCATCCGCCCCCCGAGCCCCCTTATGCTCGTGGCGGTCAAGTCGACCCCATCCCCAGCCCCTGGTCACTGCTCCTCTGCTTCCTGTCGCTGAGACCTTGCCTTTCCCAGACGTCGAGTAAACGGAATCGGACGATGTGGAGTCTTTCACGTCTGACTGCGCGCACGTGGAATAATGCTTTGGAGGTTCACCCACAGTGTAGCGGTCGGTTCTTCGTTCCCCCTCAGTGTTGAGTGCACTGTGTGGTGTGGCTGTGCTACAGGTGTTCATACATTTACCAGCTGAGAGACGTTTGGGTTTCTCTCAGTGTTTGGTAATTATGGGTGAGGCTGCTATAAACATCCATGTACACATTTTTAATACTTAAATTTCATGTGTTTTTTCAGTTTCATTGAGAAATAATTGGCATCCATTACTGTTTAAGTTTAGGGTGTACCACACGATGGTTGGATTTCTGTATGTTGTGAAGTGGTTACCACAATAGGTTCAGCTAACATCCATCTTCTCATGTAGACACAATAAAAAGAAAAGAGAGAAGAAAAGGAAAACAATTCTCCCTGTGACGGGAACTCTTAGGATTTAGTCTTTTAACAACTTTCCTATGTGTCGTACAGCAGTTAGCTATAGTCACCATGCTGTACTTTACATCCCTGGCACTTACTTATCTTTTATGTTATAATTAGATGTCTGTAACCCTTTGACCACCAGAATCTAAAAAAAAGAGATTGGATGCTTGGTTACCAGAAGCAGAGGGCAGGGGAGGGGGAATTAGAGGAACATGAACAGGCTTTTGCATGAACAAATTTTTATTTCATTTGGGCAAATACCTGGAAGCGGAATTGCTGGATCATAACGTAAGTGTATGTTTAACTTTCTAAGCAACTGTCTGAAATCTACAGTGGCCGAACCATTGTATTTCCCCTACCAAAATTGCCATAATCTCTCTTTAAATTTTAGCCATTTTAATGTTAATAATTTTTTAGTGATATTTCAATGAGGTTTTGATTTGCATTTCCATAATGACTAGTGATTTTGACTGATGATTGACAAATGTGCGTTTATTGGACAACTATATGTCTTCTTTGATGATTTGGCTGTTCAAATCTTTTGAGTGAGTTCTTTGGGTGTCTCCTAAGTATGAATCATTTTCATTTTTCCTCAGGGATATTCTTGAGGAAGTTATAGATCAGTTATCTCTTAAACTTCTATGAAGGTGGTTAAAATGCTGACTCTTGGGCTCTACTACAGACACACTAAATCATTGCCTCAGAGGGGATGCCCAGGTATCTACAGTGGAAAAAAAAAGTTTTCCAGGTGATTCTTATTCACACCAAAGTTTAAGTACCGATTTTCTAAGGAAATGTAGAGCCAGGGGAAAAATACCCCCTATGAATCCCACCCTTTGCCCAACCTACAGCACATTTACTGGATGGCATTCAGACTAGATTAAACATCAAGGTAACCTGGAAGAAGAGAGTCACATAGGACGAAAGCAAGTGTGTGTGTGTGTTGGGGGGGGGGTATGCTGAGGATCCTGGTTACCAGAGGAAGGGGAAGAGGCTCTGGGTGGAACAGGTCTATGGTCTGTTTTGTTTTTAGTACCGTTTTCTCCTATAGCTTCTATCTCTAAGTAACTCCCCAGTGCTGGCAACCAAAGTCCTTGAAGCTTAAGGTGACTGATACTTTGATTTATAATATGTTGGAACTATCATTCTTAACCCTACTGGCACTCAAGAATTACCTGGGGAGCACTGGCTGGTGTGGCTCAATTGGTTGGGTGTCATTCTGGGCACCAAGGGGTTGCAGGTTTGATTCCTGGTCAGGGAACATGCTACCTAGGTTGTAGGCTGGGTCCCCAGTGCGGGGTGTGCGGGAGGCAGCCAAGCGATGTGTCTCTTTCACACTGATGTCTCTCTCTCCCTTCCTCTCTCTCTAAATATCAATTTAAAAAATATTTTTTTAAGAAAGAATTACCTGGGGAGCTTTTGAAAAACACCATTGTCTGAGCCTCACCCCAGACCCATCGGATGAGAAATTTTCGAACAGGGCCAAGACAACAGTGACCTTAAAACCTCCCCGTAGGACCTCGTGTGCAGCCCAGGTCAGGAGCCACTGCTCTAGCGGTTTATAAAATTCATCATCCTGACGCTCAGGAGTTACATGCTGCGTCCTGGGTATGGCTGAGTCACGTGAAGCCTTAAAGAGCTCCAAGAGACAATGCAAATGATGGTAAACACTATCTTTATTATACATTCATTTCTCAGCAAGCCCCTGGCTCTGCCTGTTCCCCGTTCTCTGCAGACCTCTTATCTTACGCTCAGCGCTTCATGGCCAGATGCCCTGTAATGTGAAGACATAAGCATCTTTATAGTTGAAGCCAGCTTGGGTGCAGATTCCTGTGACTCAGAGCCGAAAGCATGCTAGCTCATGCAGTGTCTGGAGGGTTCCGGAAACTGCCGAGGCCTCGGAGCAAGTTGATGGAGGCGACACAGAGAATGGCTCCCCTGAGCAGACGCTAAGGACATAAGTTTAATGAATTCACAATTTACTCTGCATTTTCAACTAGGTTGTCATATCATCTTTCCCACAACCTTGTAATATACATCAGTGACGCATTATTGGGATTTGTTTTTCATAGGTGAAGAAAAGGGTCAGGGACATTTTCTGCTCAAATTCTTAGAGCAGGAAGGTTATGAGCCCCAGGTCTCCCGATTCCTAGTCTGTGATTTCTTTCATCAAGTCATCAGAACTGCCATCACTAACTACAAACCAGCATTTAGAAATAATTGCCCAGTAAAGTATTTATAAGCTTATGTATGTTAGCACACGTAACTAATTTGCACTGTGGATCTTCGCTGCTGTTCTCTAGGGTGCTCGATGGGTCCCAGGGACCTCTGAGAACTAGGCTTAGATCAGTAGTTTTCCAAGGACCAGGAGCACCAGCCTCACTTGGGGATTTGTTGGAAATGCTGGGGCCCCAAGGAAACCACAGACCAGATGAGCCAGGGCAGATAAGTGCTGATTAACGTTAGGAACATGGGAGACCCTAAGAAACAGCCAAGGACACCCGTGCTGAGGTGGGATGTGGTGGGAGGAGAGGGAGCAGAGAGAACGTGGGAAGAACCGTGCAGAACCTGCAGGGCAAACTGCCCTCTTGTCAGATCCACCCCGAATTATTCCAATCAGCGAGCAAGACATTCTGCGTGCCACTCTCATCTCAATGTGGCAGTTACTTTATTTTGAAAACGTTGCACATGGTAGGCAGTAAAAATATTTGTGGAATGAATGAAATTATCACCAACACCCCTGAGCCATATGATAGCGAAGTTAAAAATCCCTCATTAGATGCAGTTCTAGCGCTGAGGCCCCGAGAGCTGACTGACTGCTCCTTAAAGTGCGGCCATCTGTCCGGAATAAATACCTTTACGGTCATTCCGCATAATTCTGCATCCCATGCTTTCTGTGTGCCTCATTCTAGCCCATTCCCTTTGCTTTCCACTGGGACCATGTCTGTACTGTCACTATTCCACCACTCGTTATTTGGTGGCATTTTTTTTCATTTTTATTGAATTTATTGGGGTGAAACTGGTTAACAAAATTATCCACCCCCCGTCTCTGCAATCATCACGCTGTTAACCATGTCCAAGAGTTTTTTCTTTTCTTTTTATCAATCCCTCCACCTCCCCGCAGCTCCCCCACCCCACTACGCAGCTGTAAAACAGAAGAATCTCTTAATCTTTGCGACAGCATGGATGGACCTGGGGAGCATTATGCTAAGTGATTGAGCCAGTCAGAGAACGACAAGTACCATGTGATTTCACTCATATGTGGAATCTAAGGAACAAAATGAACTAACAAGCAAAATAGTGACAGACTCAGAGAGCAGGCTGACAGCTGTTAGGGGGGCGGGGATAGGTGGGGGCATGGTGGTGGCGTTTATTGAGCATCTGACAAGTGCCAGGCATTAGAGAAAGTGATTTGTTCCTCACCATCAGGGCTACAGAACATTATTTCCAATTTATAGACGGGCTGTTGGAGTTCAGGGAGCTCAAGGTCATCGGGGAGCCGAGCAGTGGAGCTGGCTCCTGGTCCATGTTGTGCTCTCAAAGCCAGGGCTCCCAGACC